GCTCTTCGCTGTGTTTTGCATTTGCCTCTGTTGCCTTTTGCACAACCCTGTCCGCTAACTCATTAATGAGGTCCAGCGACTTCCTTATCGCCTTACGCTCCGGTTCTAGCAATCTATAAAGACCCTTTTCCAGGTCCTCTAGTGAGGTGGTCTCCCCATCACCTAACATGATAGCTATGCTTTTCAGCAGTTTTGCCAATCTTGACACGCAGTGCGTAACTGTAGAGCGCAGCTGCTGCTGATTCTGTTGCGTTAGTTGTAGAACTTGTGCTCTGAGCTGTGCCAATACTTGTTGCACCTCGTCCATTTTGGTGTCCCGCGCAACGCCTTCTTCCAGCAGCCTATCCAGTTCTCCCTCCATGTCGTCTGACATTACTTCGCTCTGAAACAGATCTCGTTTCAGTTTAGCCAACGATAAACTACTGATTCGATGCTACCTTTTCAGTATCAAATTCTATCCTCTGAGTTCGATGGAACAATTGAGGTAGTCTCAGTAGTCCTGCAAAGAAAACAATTTTTTGCGCAGCGGTCTGCCTTACAAAAATCGTTTTCTTCTGTCCCACAGGGTGCACTGACAGATCTCTGCACAGCGCAACTTGTAGGGGCTGACCGTCTAGCAGCTTTGTCGAGCCCGCCGCTCTATCAACGGCCCTAGGGCTCGCTAAAAGCTTTTCAGAAACCTGGGGACTCCCCGGCTTCCTACTACCTTAAACCTACCTTATTGACCGAGCCAAATCCGTTCGGCCCCCATGTAATGGAGCTTTGGGTGCTCCGGTGGGTGTGTGAGGGTAACTGGTAGATTAAACTCACAATTTATTGGCGTGCAAGTACAATAAAATAGGCGCTGCTTCAGTGGCGAGAGAATGTGGACGAACAATCTTCGTGGTAGATGAACTCACAAAGTGACCAAACTAACACTTATGTAGGAGTACTGAGCGCGCCAAAACTGATCACGCGGGAGTAGATATGTAGTAAGTAAATTGATCAGCAAGGTGATCACGAAACCGAACTAGATAACAATAACAGTTCGATAACAGTTAACACAGGTGGATCATTAGTTTGGAGGAACTGTGCTGGGGTCCGTCCTTTATACGACCAAAAATTCATAACTTCTGTCCCAATGGACCAAGAACATTCAAGTTTGGAAGGTGCACAGGAGACAGGACGGGAATACTCATGCTACCTCCCACAACGGCGGAGCCTGCGCAAAAAAATGGTAATTTGGGTCTAGAGGGCTCGAAATAGGTAGGAGTACAGGAGTCAGAAGGGAACGATGTGGGAGTGGCTCACGAAGTGTGTCGGGTGTATGTGTGGGCGTGTGTTTAGCCGAAAAATTTAACTCCTGCTTTACTGTACCAAAGCGTCCAAATCGGTGGGGGAGTAGGCGAGAGGCTACTCTAAACGGAGAGGAGGAGCGCCAGGTGTTGTCTGGGCGATTTAACTGGTATTATGATACTTTGATAAGGTTAACGTATGATTTCCAGCTTTCATTTCGTCGTTTTTCAGCAAAACGGAGACATTCGGACAGTTCCTATCGAATATTCAACAAGCAGAAACGGAAATCCCGCTTTAGTCGAGATCCTGAATCTGTCTACACTGTTGCCGGTGCGGATAGACAATCACTGTTGAGAACGGTACGTGGATTAGTCAGAACATTACTATGAGGTTTTTAGTTTTGCAGCAACCGTTTATACGTGATAGGACCGTTCTCCACCTCATTTGGGTGTTTTTCACATCCATCGGGAAAATTCGGAGACCATAGTGAGTGTGTAGATCCAGAGTATCAAGCCTACTATCACGAGAACATCCTTTAAAGTTCAAGGAGCAGCCAATTGGTATTACCTAATACTAGCCCCAATATGACTGTAACGGAAAATGACAGGGGATCCTGCCTAACAGCTCCATGTCCAGAGATGGAAGCCAATCAATGTAGAACTTAACGAATAAACTGCTCAACAGAATTCGGTTAATAGCCGATTGATTGATTGCTTTACGATAAATTTTTGAAAAACGATTTAGGATTCGGAGAGGAACCCAACTGGATTTCCGAGGAACTTCTATTTGTCAAATGCTCTACCAAATCTGTATGGTGACGTTGCGCACCATGTTCGTAGCGATAATTCAATAACTCCTCATTCGCTTTACGTCACTTCAAGTGAGCATTTGCTTCATGTTACGGTAGAAGCAACAGTTTCAGCAGGGAAGCTTGGTTTCTTCAGTTGTTCTTATGGATGGTGCGAAAACCGAGCCACGCCAATCCCTTCATAGTGGATCCTCACAAAAAATTCTCATCCCGTATGGCCCCGATCGGTTCTTCGACTCATCTCCCCAGGTTTGTCGGAGCACTTGCTGAAGGGATCTGACAAGTTTTTTATTTGCTTTTTTTTTNTTTTTTTTTGTTCTCTTATTCTTGAATGTTGTTCTAAAGATGTGCACCCTTACTGTATGGTATACAATACCTACACATAGTTAAACTCATTCTATGTGACTATTCGTAACTTTTTTGCTGCCGAAAACATGCCGAAGGCCATTTGTTCAGATGAGCCCATCTCAGGGATTGATTGGATTCAAAGGACCGGACTCATATTTCCAGTCAGATACCGCATCTACCCTTGCTGACACTATCAGCGCAGGATTGGATTTCACCAAAATGGCTCGTGAACTGGTTTTGCAACCACCGTGAGTTCAATGACAAGACCTTCTTGAACTTTGAGTATTCCTTTTCAAATCAGTCAAGAGAGTCCGGCATAGTAGGATGGGTTTTGGAGTGTTAAGCTCAAGAGCACTATATCTTCTTTAAATACATATTAGTCGCTCGCCAAGCACGAGATCGACCTCACACAACTCTCATCTGTCAGTGTTATTTCGCACCGTAGAAACAGTGAGGCTTGCGATTATGCGCATTACATCTACTTTGGACCCGACTCAATGTCATAACCAACACTTATTGAGTAAAAGTTTTAATTTTAGGACAGATAGCAGCCATCCAGGAAGTCGGCTGCCTCGCAGCAGTTATGTTTCAGCAGATCTTCCAAAAATGCAAATGCAGACATTTAAACCGTCGTAGACCACTTATTTCGTGAACATTGATAAAATCTCTCATGGCAACGGCGCTGAATAGTGAAACTTACGAGAAAAAATCAAGAAGGAACAGATTTCCTAATTTGAGTGAATCAACCGTAATTATGTCATGACAGGGTGCCATCTCTAGATTCCTGATTATTTTGTGTAGCAACGTCGTTATTCCATCACGAAAGCAATTTCATCTGTGCCTTTTCGATCTCATCTGTTACGTTTTATTCTGCTCAGTTCATTTANACAGAAACGAATACTTCAACCATGTATCATCGTGGTGTCACCTCGGAACGTCTTTATGCTCATAAACTTCTGAACTTGCTCTGTGGCTACTGTAAATACCAATTGAAATAAATCATTCATTGAAAATCAGTAGAAAGAAGCAGTGGAAAGGGAAGAGAGGAGGGGGTATAAGCTGTCTTCGAACTCTTGCATATCAATCGAGATTGCTCCAGCTGATCAAGGCGCAACTTTCATGCAAGTAACGAGCGGGAGCGATTCTGCAACCGAACGTAAGATTTTCTGTTATAATTCAATAGTACTCAGACCTGAGTCCCTGAATTCGCCTAGCTTTTATCCGGTCTATGCGGTATTCCACAAATGTAACACAGCACAGTATTGAGGCCTTCGCCGCGCGCGACGAATTCCATTCGCATTCCAGAGCGAGGAATACACTGGCTTGTTGCAAAACCTCATCTAACGGTCCACACCGAGTTCCACCTTTTATTAGGCCTACTGCCAAGAATCCTTATCTCGATACCGTATGGAAAATGGCAGGTTCTGTCAAAAAGAGAGGACGAAGGAGGGGTGGGGGGAGGATGCAAGAGAACTGTCGAAGTTTTGACGGATTTCTTTGTAGACCAGTACGAAGGACCAAGGGGCAGGATATCGCAGCATGAGAGTTAGTTGACTCATTGAGAACTCCTGTTATAGCTGATTCTAAACAGTAGCACCCTACACATGCTCTCAATGCTAAAATGCTAGGAAGAAATGCCACTAACTTCTGAACTGAACCACTGCGTGACTTTCATATGAGATGCCCTTTATGCATTTTTGGCCTTTGTTATTCAAACCCGGTTGGCACACTCGGAACAGTATCACTGAAAGAATGGAGGCACTTACAGAGAGACCAAATCGTTCTGTTGACACTAATTGGCTCCATAGGAAGGATTATGGTAGTTATCTGTTAGGGGCGCAAATAGATTAACCAGGGTGCTGGTCAGAAACTGCACCCCCATATGAACGTACTACCCTTCCCTCTTTGCCTAGGTCAATAAATTTGGGTAACCTGTTCGCAGTTTTCTAACTGTTCAACGACTTGTTGGGTACTGTAGTCGTGGAGCCTCCCTATTTGTCCTCTTCTTTACTAGTTGTTTATACCATTTAATGTTGACAATTTCGCCTTCTTGATCTTGATTGAGAATACGCAAAAACTTTCAGTGTAGCATCCGTTTCATACCATTTTCAGCGATTTTTCAAAATGGACCCAATCTACTGGAACACAGAAGCCAGCGAGTTGGCGGTAAGCGATCTCTCAAAGCCAACTACATTGGTTCCGACCTCACAATGAACATGTAGGATGAGGCAGTAGAGAGGGAACAAGGAAGTGTGGGTCGGGAAGAACGGAACCTTCTTCGACCGTTCGAGGAGAGACGTATTTTCCTCCACGTTCTCTATACTCTGAAAATAGAATATGATCGATGAAGAACAATACATAGTTATACGAGACAGATGCATGACCTCATAACGCAGCTGACCGTAGCTGGCTATCCCTGGATTAAGAAAAGGTTGACTTTTTGTTGTTCGTGTCAAAATCTCATTTCTCCTTATTTTTCAAAAATTTTTTGATCGGAACTGAGAATTTCTCCAAAACTTGTCGCGTTTTTGGTGTAGACAGATCCCCTCCAAAATCACCTCCCCACATTTGACTCCTGTTCAGGGTTATAGAATACGTATACCACCACTGAGCTGGCGGGCTAGTTGCTGACAGTCAGCAGCTTCTACTCTCAACCAAGTTTATCTCTGATCCGACATATTAGCATCTTCGCCAAACTCTTTGAGAGGGCTTCAATAATATGAGTTGGAACCGAAAAGAGCGATTCGACTGCCCTCAGGGGCTTCGTGGTGCACAGAGAAGCCTTAAGATTGTTGAATAGTTGAATTTGACATCTTTTTCAGCCAACCACCAATGTCTCCTACAACTGTGTCGACCGCTACATGGCGGATCCAGAGTTCAAGCACGAAACAGCCCTGTTGTGGTATGAACTTCTTAGAACTATTTTGGAGGACATCGTTTTCTGTGGATTAATGGGTTCAGGGACGGAAACTTTTGGGACAATGACATCCATGACTACGCCGATCTTTCATGGGATGTGGTTGACGTATTGACAAACAAAATCGCCAACGTCTTCAAAGAATACTGTGTATCGGTCAGTCCCAGAATTACCGTAAGGGTTGAGTTTAGCTTATGTGATCGTTCTACTTCATGTTCACAAGCATTCCTTGTTCTGATACCTTGTGCATCTTTTCCTTTGATTCATAGAATTGTCCTTAAATCAGTAAATTTCCAATCCTAAAGTTGTTTTCCGTCCCGGAAAGAATTATTAGGAATTCGACGAATGTATAGCTACTTAATTCAGTGAGTGTAGTATTCTTTATTGATATGTAGTAGAATCCTGTACTCGCTACGGTTTATCGCTTTATCACTCTTGCTCGCTGGTCGATTTCCATCAAAAGCGTGCGATTCGCTCAATCGACACTGTTAGACACTTTTTACAAGCTTGGATGCTCAATCACTTTGACAAGCGTTTGCTAGCAGATACTGCTACTAGACAAAGCTACTTATTAATTACTAGGGCGTTCCTGTTGCTCAAGGAGAGCGCCGTCCCACCATGAGCCTGGGCACTTGGGTTCTTTAGTCACGGGAATCGGTATGGGTTTCCAACGTAACCCTATTCTGTCGAATATTCCGACCCCGCCTCAAGCTCGTACACCACGGCAAGGTAGAACACATGTACGAGCACATCTACACATTTTACATAACCTATTAAAATTCCAAGATTCCATTATTAACAGGAAGTGCGTGGAAGACCTAGTGGCTCTCGCCTTCTATGGTTTCTTATCAGTCTTATCACTTGCTATCATTTCCTGCCACCAATCACTAACGGTCCCTTCATGTCCTACACCACCTGCCGAAGTGCCAAGGCTTCACCGCTTATACGAAGGGAATTATGGATCCTGTGGCTTTTGCCTTTCAAGGCTGCTTATCAATTTCTATCGATTGTTGTCACTTCCAATCACCTACCATCGGTGTCCCCATCCGGTCTCCTATCTCCCTTCCAAATTTGTATGCTTTAGCTACAATGGGACGGGAGTTATGAATTTCCGGTCGGACAAACACACACATACTCATACCCTTGCACACACACAAACACACCAACAGACACACTTAGCCTATTATATAAGTAGGATAGGGTCTTGATAGCAATTGATAAGAGAAGAGGTAATTAGAAGAGATGTACAATGTGATCATCAGAAGCCAGTAGGAGTAATGTTTTACTGGTCACTGGACAAGATAATATATTTATGTTTACGCACTTATTTACAGGAAGACCGCATTCTTCTCCTTCTCCATAACGTCATTCAACTACCACTGTGCATCATGGGTGCAAGCCGAATCGGAGCTGTTTCAGTGATTTTGGTTAGTAACTTACAATACTAAATGAATTCTAAAAACGTGACATAGATCCTGTTTTCGATTCATCTAGTAGTAGGAGCTGCGAGTGATGTGTTACTGGAGTCGAATCCTTATATAGACAAAGGTTATAGCAGGGACGCAATGGGGATAGGGATCGGTGAATGGTTGCCTGAGCAGCTTTGATCACTCCTTAATACCGTGAATCAGCCAGGGGTACGGTATCTGATTTTCGACCGCAGTAGTTGGTTCAGTCTTTGGTGGTANGATAGGGATCGGTGAATGGTTGCCTGAGCGGCTTTGACCACTCCCTAATACCGCCAATCAGCCAGGGGTGCGGTATCTGATTTTCGACCGCAGTAGTTGGTTCAGTCTTTGGTGGTACAAGTGCAGTATCCAAGTAGATTAGTGAAATCTAAATAGATACTGTGTCTGCCTAAGGCCGATATTACTTTGACAACTGTTGTGAGCAATAATAAGATGTCTTCACCTCAGCATAAAAATTCATTCGATTTGTTACAGATATTATTCATAAAATGTCACTACCAGGCAAATCTTGTAGCAGTCTCAATCTCAATAATCCCCATTCTTTCTGATGCCCATTGTCAAGCATATCAAAACGGTGATGACAGCACAAATGAGTGCCACCTACCTATCTTACTTCACGATAGTCTTAGAGACGAAGTCTCCCGAATTGATCAGTCCTGTTTGTGGAATGCTCACCCAATGTGACTTCCATTCAGTATCTTTTCAAAAAAGCACGTATGTGATCTATGCAATGACTTGCGGTATTCAGCCGATGTACATACAAGCCAGTGTTTCTATCCTCCGGGACAAGTCTAGTAATTAAAGACCCAAAGGGATAGAAGGCGGAGTTGGGCTAGATGTTCATCGATAAACCCAGGCCGAGTAGGCCTTCCATCTATTCGGGTCTTTGTTTTATCCCATCTCATACAAGTGTAGCGCTACACCTTCGCAGCCCCTGCCCTCTAAAACAGTTCCGAAATAAATAAATCAGCACTATTGCACTATTACACCCCCCTGTTTACAATTTCAGAACCCTGCCACAGCAACAACCTCACAACTGACGGAGCTTCTCGAAAAAACCTGCCCAAAACTTATCGTCACTGTGGACGCATTCTGGCAAGGACATCAACTGCTTGAAACAAAACGACAAATGGATGAAGCTGTCAATAAGGCCAAGGTAGGCAGAGATGACCGCGTTTGTTCATTGGTTCTCGTTATACGCTTCTCTTTGCCAAAAAATCGGAGATAGTTGAGGCCCACTTCGTAGTAACCGGCGGATTTCGGGTTTCTACAATAAATTATTTCATATTTTCCGTTTTATATACCTGGAACTTTTTACAGGTGACATCAATCAAACGCATTCTAGTCATCCGACACACGGCGCCAAACAAAGGTGTTCCTCCTCCGGATGAAATCTACCCTGGTAAACGGCCCTGCTATAAAATTTCGGTACCTTTTATGTGAACTCTTCTTGTTGTTTTTCATTCCGTTTTTTCATACATCCACAATTAAAACCCCCAATTTCGAATAAAAATCAATTGCTCATAGGGAAGTTAGTTGTTGAGCTCTGAGGAATGATGTCTCAAAGAAGGCAGGAGCCAAAAAAACCCTGTCCAAAAGAAAGTTTGTGCAGTAACGGTGGAAACAGTGGAGCTTACGTGCTTTTACTAAGTAAGCTATAGTAGGGTCATTTCATGAAATTAGCCCTCCGGAACAAAAAATGAATGAAATTCTGATTTGAGTTGATAAGCCCAGACCAGACAGCAGGGTACTTCAACTGCACAATTAGCACCGAATCCCAGACCCATATGAAAAGGAAAACAAAGCACGGTTAAATACATTCCGAACGAAATATTCTGTATTTAGTTCGAGCTGAATGAAGACATCGATGTTGAGTGGAGAAAAGAGATCGTCAAGGCGTATACTTCATGTGATCCGGTATGGGTAGCCGGTAGCCATCCATTCGCAATTCTTCCAGATTGGTCAGTTCACTAGATGTCTTCTGCTAGAAAGTTGTACGAGAAAATTACAGTTCCGACAAAACTGATTTCTGAGATGTTCCCCTAGGATGGCTCTATGACCACCCTTACACCATATGTGCAGCTTTCAGATTGGAGAATTCTAGATTGGGCATTATAAAGGCTCAAAGATTGTACTGCCAGTGTACCACACCAAAGGCGGACGAGTTTGCTCGGCATTGGAAAGCCTACACCATTCATAAAAGGCGCCCATCTAAGAGGATCATACAACTTGTCGAGAGCCATGGCGACAGTAGAAGGGGGTCCGGTATCTTCTCCCCGAACATTCCGTCGCGCTCGCCGCACCCGCCGCGTGTCGCAGAAACGCGATAGAAGATTGGAGCGCGCCATTCGCGAGTTAGGAAGTTCTTTAATTATCTGAACTTGCTGGCCGCTCCCTTTAATTTTAATGGAGGAGCATATAGGAGGAGTCATTCCAAACAATCAGGTCTAGTAAGCATAAAAACGAAAAAGAAACAGAAAAACAATCAAAACTCTCTAAAAAATGAGGCAGTCAACGAAAAATATTGGGTCTCATCGATCGGCAGGGAGGCGGGCTGCGTAACGGTAATTGCAGTTTGAAGCCACGGAACAGAGTTTAAAAAAAGGAGAGGAGAGTAAATAGGGAGGAGTTAAAAAGATTTGCCGCATGTCGCAAAGCTAGTGTGGGGAATCGGGAAAAGTTCCGTTACCCCAGTAGAAGGCAATTTTGGATAATTGTGGCTTAATGTAATCAGTGCTTCACGCAACTGCAACAACTGGAACCTCGTCCGAATGGAGAACGTCCGTTGCGTGCATTCGTCGACAGTAGATCGCCACGCCCACTTCCCGCGCGGCGCACACACAGAGGTCCCGAAATGACATTACAGTACCTCCAAGTGTCAATGGAGCGAAAGTTTGGCATTGGTCTGTGTTATCTCCTCTTTGAACTGACTGCCGTGACCACGCGCAAATCGTATGCCCCGCTGCCAGTTGCGACGTCCGTCAAGTATCGCGCGCTGACTCGCCGCGTGCAACGGCTGCGGCGTGACCTAGTTTCGACGGACGCGCGCAACGAAACGCACCCCTTTTGGGAAGTATTCTCCCTCACCAACTCTCGCTTTCTTGCCTTTTAACCAATACTTCTATTTGAGACTTGAAAAGGGTACCTTAAAATTATCATGAACCATGCTTTCAAACAAACCTGAAATGGGAAGACAGAGCGGTCAAACAGGGAAAAAATATGACGGCAGTTGTATTTTTAATGATCATGTGAGAGTGGCTGATAACTCTAGAAGAAACCAGCCTTTTAAGTTGCAGTATTTCGGTTAAACTGAAATAGACTCAGACGACTCAACCCTCCTACTATTCAGGAGCCCCGAATTACATCTTCGAACCGTGTCTACCAGGCAAGCATTAATGGCTGCTCAAGAACTCGGGTCATGGACGTTCTCTGACTGCTTGGTCCTGCCTCATCCGCAAACCCCGCTTGGATTGATAGGATGTGTAGCAGTTTGGTTCTGCGGAAAGACTCTCTCAACGGTTTGTAATTCCATGAGGTTGTATTTCTTAACTCGATTCAACATTCAATCTCCCCGCTATTTTTCATTCTTTTTGTGGGCTTCTGTAAATGTTTTATCAAAAACAGGATGGGTGTTTGACAAATCACTCACTGAAGAGAGAAGATGATAAGCCACGTAACACGCGTATTTCTAGACATCGGGTATGTAAGGCACAGTTCACGATAAATATTGTCCTTTAGATTTCTCCTTGGGGTAAACCTGCAATTCCTCGGGTAGCAACGCTGTCTGTCCTGCCAAAAAAACATCTCAGATAGGGCATAATAAGAGCCCAGAAACTGGCTGAGCCGCTAGAGGCTGTACAGATTGCATTTTTCACACAAAGACCCCTCCATGCAGTGCACCCCTCCTATTCACTTCCATTATTCGTCGAAACTAAATAACCCAAAATTATCGTGACCTGTGCCTTCAACCCAACAATTTATACTACGAGGGATAGGTGGCCGCAAATTCACTGACTATCAGAATCGGCAACAATGGCTATATGGCATAAATAAGAAACAATATAAGAAATAATAAGACATTTTCAGTTCGAAGGCACGTTGAACCATCCGGATCCGTCACGACTGAAGCACGTCATCAAGAAATTCGACGTTAGTATCCTGCACATACTTTATCTACTACAAACAAAATTGTAAATTATTGAAGCTCGTAAAACCAAAGTGTAATGAGAACTTTCTCATTACACTTTGGTTTTTTCTCCAAGTCTCAAGAAAAAAAAGTAGCTGCCGGCGGTTCCAAGTTAGTGCCGGAAGGTCTGCAACCCAGAACCCTTTATTTCTCCGTTTAGGAATAAGGGATGTCTGTACACCCACTACCTTGATAAATTAAACCAGATGTATCACCTTTCATCCCCTCCATCATGATTTCCGTGAGGAAAGACGTCTTTATTTGTCTGTCGCGAGCCAGTGTAGTCAAGGAAACTATCCTCCCTCGGGGTGCATCAGCCGCATTCATTCCTTTGTTTAGGGTTCTCAGGGGCCCTTTCCTTTCGCATTCCCCATTGTACTGTTCGAATGCTGACAATGTTGTTGATGAGTAGCATGTTTACCTTGAATACGGTGAACGAGGGAAATTCCGCTAACATCGGGCAATTTTTGACTAGTCCGTTCGCCGCGACAACAACAGATTATCCTGGCGCAGTTGGAGCTGTGAGCAAGACGGGTCGTTAGGGATTCCCAATTTGTCGCTACGAAAATGGTTTAGTGCATACCGAAGTGGGCAGAAACTTCTTAATTCATGCTGGGGTTATGAGGCGTAAATCTGGCATAATGTCTCGGGGACATCCACCCAAGTTGCGAGAGTTAGAGTACTGCTCCTTCAAGTTACGTTCGAGACATGATCTCAGGCACGTTCGCCAAAGCCATGAGTCGTGCGGCAGCGTTTAGTAACGTTACAGCTGGCCTATCTCCTCGAGTACATCTGACCAAGTACAGTCGCCTTAGTCGTAGGAAAATTGTGTAGGAAATCAGAGGATGCTTGGAGAAGGTGCCATCCGGGGAAAAGCCGTCAA